GCTGAACCCTCATGACAGCTTCTTAGGAAGTTACCAAAATTCAGTTCCTCTGAAAATGTTAGAAAGTTGCTGATCTTCATAGGAAATAGGAGTTATTTATAATTTTTATTGCAGATCAAAATGAGGCTTATCTGCAGAACTCATGTAATAATGGAACAGTGAGATATTCATGACTGCCATGGCACATACCATGTCTAATGTTAGACATTGACATTAGGCATTCTTGATACTCATAATGAGTACACAAGCTGTGTCAGAGCATACATTAGCTTTTAATATGCATACATATAAATTTTTATGTCTATATGTGTATAAATAGATTTTCTTTCTGTAAGAGACATGTAGGTACCTGTTGCCCTTCCTATGTGATAGGGAAGTGTGTTTTGGGTGCTTTCCCAATTTTTAACAGCTTAAATACATTATATGCAAAGAAATATAAATCAAATAACTTAGAAAAGCTGGTATTTTAAGAGGCTTTTCTATTTTTAAAAAAGTTGGGTTAATGCCTGCGCTCAGTGTAATTTATTTACAGATGTTTTCTGCAACACCAGACGTACCATTGTGTAGGTACCTCAGGGGAGACTCTTGTAGTCAGGCACGGCTGCCTGCAAGGTTGCAACTCACACTGTTGTTGGAGGTGGTGAGATAGGGATGTGTCCTGCTGTTTTGCACCAGGTTTGCATGGGTAGGGTTGCACATCCATGGTCAGAGAAATCCTGGTGCAGAAAACCAGGTGGTATAGATCAGCCCAGTTAAGCTTCAGTGCTTCAGCAAATGCAAGGGACACCAAAAGGCTGGCAGAACTATGTGCTGTATTCTTCATTTTAGCTAAAAAGAATATTTTTCTTTTGGCAGCACTAAGAGTTCTAATAGGAAATAATTAAAAATAATTGACATAGAGTTTGAATCATTTTATTATCAACAATCAAATACCCGAGGTGTTTGATTTGGGGGTGGTAATGTTTCCTCTCTTTGTTTTTCTTTCTTAATCAATGGAAGGGCTCTAAGTGTAGAGCTTGTTCTGTAATTCTGTAAAGCTCCAGTACCTCTTGACAGCCAGGATTCCAAAAAGGTACAGTCTAAATTAAGTGGAAGTTCTATTTACTGTATAATCAAGGGTGGAGTTTGCCTCCTTTAGTTCTATGAGCATAGAACTGAGATAGCACTGGCTGTGAAATTATGATGGGAAATTCCGTCTTCAGGTCTTTATATAGGGTGCCTATCCTCTGTCCATGGAAGGATGCTTAAGACTCTGAGCCTGGTGGATGCTCCTAGACCAGAAAGGACAGTGGCAGAGTTGTTACTGACTCCAGAGCCTTCGAGCTTTCACTGCCAGACTTTTGCTCTGAAAAGCAAGAAGAAGTCTGGGGCTCTGCTTTCAGTTGTTGGGCTCTCATCGAATCTGTGTCTATAGGAATTTGTTGGACAGGCTGAAGACCCTGTGCTGGGCTCTGGGTTCTGTAGGGATCCTGTAGTAAAAAAGACAAATAGCAAAAAAAAACATGTTTTTGAAGTAACATTGGTGATGTTGGGTATTTAATGAGGAATTCTTTTACTCAGAGCCTGCCGTCAGAGGCAAAATGGTGGGACAGAGAAGGTCCATATGACATGCAAATGGTATGAAGCTTGAAGTTAACCTACATTTGTGCCCACAGCAGATAAAGTTTCTACCTGGCTGAGGAGACTGCCTCTGCATGATGCCAGGTGTATGGCTGTAGTCCCACCAGCCCAGGCTGCAAAAGCCTCAGTCAAAATGACTGTCAAAGACAAGTGAAAATGAATTATTTGTTTCAGGGGTAGATTTGCTTCAGGTCCAGTTTTTCAGTCCAGTTTTTCTTTTCATTAGTGGACAAAAATCTAAAATGAACTTGGCAGAAAATGTGCCAAAAAAAGTGTTAATTTTGCATTTTAGTATTCATATTGTGTTTTACCCCATGCTTCAAAGCTGAATTCAATCACTGGCCAAAGAAGTGAAGATAAAAGGTCACAGGGCACAAAAAGGATGAAACACTGCAGTTGTTTTTAATCTTCTTTGTAAATATTAAACAATACACTTTCTACTTCACAAAATGCTCTAGTAAATTCTACATCTATGCATGTATAAGTATTTATACAGTGCTTTATGTTTTGTGTGTTTTCTGACAGGATACAATGTTTTCGAAGACTAAAATTGTAGTTAATATTTTTAAATGCTGTACATGTTGATCTTACTTCCTTCCTTGAACATAGAGGGCAGTTTTTTTTCTGAGTGGGCAACCCAGGGACTGGTAGAAGTCACTGAAAATATTCACATTGCAATAAGGTGTCAGGTTTAGTATGACTGTTGCTATTTGTACTTGCATTTGACAGCTACTGATGGATGGTATCATAGGAGGAACATGCCTGGTTAATTACTTTCACAGTGATGATGATTTAGATATGTCTGTTGTGGTTGATCTTGAGTCATAATGCTGCTGTTGTTGGCTTAAAAACTGTTAAGAGTTGAAAAATGTGATGGAAGCATCAGAAAAGTATTCTGCTGAAAAATGCATCATTCCATTCTCCTGTGAGCTCCTGACTCCTCCCCTGTTAAGCTACTTGTGCTCTGTAGCCTGTGGAAGTTAAAATTGTGAGGGGTGTGTTTGTGCAGGCCTGTTTTGCAGAGTCAGGTAGTATTTTAAGTAGCTTTTTCATAAATGTTATTTTTAATAATTAAAGATCATCAGTAAGATTTGCAGTGGAGCTGTAGACATGTCACAGTTTCTGTGAGATGTTTTGAGGACTTAGCAGCTTTTGTTTTCCTTCTGTATTCTGCAGGAAGAGAACAGCTCTCCTCACTGGGGAGTTAGGTTGAACATGACCATTTGTATCTCTTCCCAGTTCATATTTGAGTGGAATGCTAAATTTTCCAAATAATTTTAAAGCCTTCCAGTGCCTTTACATAGAAAATACAAGATTTTAAGATTAACTGGATCAGCTACTTAACTGCCACTGAAGAATGAAATTCATTATGCTAAAATGATGAAACATGCAGTCCAGAACTTCCCATTTCCTTCAAGGCTCATGAGAAGTTGAATGTGATTCCTGTACAAAATCCTTCCTCACCCTTCATCTTCACAGAAAATTTCTTCAGCTCTAAAAGCCACTTTTTTCCCAAAAAATTTGCTCAGAGAAAACTCCCAGTATGTATCTCAGCACACTCTTTGCAGAGCTGTAACATAGCAGTGTCTCCACAGGATCCTATCCTACCTGCCCATGGGTGTGTTCTCAAGCTCTGGTATAATTAGTTCTTGATATGCTTATTAAGGCGTGTGTGCTAATTTGATGCTCAGGGGAACATACTTATATCTTGCTGTTCTAATCTGTATTTTCCTCATTCATCCTTCCAGTACCTTAATAAGAGACATCATTGTATTTATTGACAAATGTTTGCTTTCTTATCCTAGCTGTACTGCTGCTTTGCTTGTCAAAAGCCTTCTTTTCTCTAATATTATACAAATACTGTGTACAAAATTTTTTTTAAATATAGAGCATCTTATTTTCTGTCAGCTGATTGCTGAGAAGTAACTTCCTGTTGCTCTGGTTAAAATCTGATCTTATTTTCTGTCAGCTGATTGCTGAGAAGGAACTTCCTGTTGCTCATCTCTGGAAAAACAGGAACTCTGTACCTCAGGTTGAGTGGACACTCAGTGCAGGATACCAGTTCAGTCAGTGGAAAGGAAGTCTGTGTGGTATTGGATATAATACCTGAGATAAGGAGTTAGGACTGATCAACAAAGCTTTTAATAAATAACAGTCTGGTAGTTAGATTGTTCTGTTTTAAAAGGCTTAGTTAGAGAACCGGACTCGAGAAGTGTTCTTGCTTGTAGGGCTAGGAATGGGAAGGGATTTATAGATACACTGTCATTTTCTTAGTAGATGGCAGATGGGTGCAACACTGAGAAGTACCCTCTGACTTTGTGCTCATTTTGAGAAAGTTGGGAGTTAATCTGAGGTACCAGATCTCAATTAGTTAGGACTGGAGTGTGTGCCATAATGTGGGTGCTCTTCCAGTGTGACACAGTTCATGTTCCCATTTTGTCAGACCAAATTGTACCATTGATTGAAGTGCCCCAAGCAAACAACAGACTAAGTACGTATACACATTTCTGGTGCTCCTATGCTTGTCATTTTTAAATTCCTTTTTGTACCTGTAGCATCTGTGTTCTCACAGACATAAGGAATGTAATGTATTTGATAAGAAAGCTGAAATTCTCACTTAATAGGAAGTTCCAAAGATTAAAGGCTTTATAAAACGTACAAATAAATGGATATCAGAATGTGTAATCGGTCAGCCTGATAATATTCTTTATTTACATCATAAAAGATTATAAGTCTTAATGCTTTTTTTAAGTTTTAACTGCTTTGAAATAAAAAATTAAAGCCAGCTGAGGAGGAGCTTTCATTGCTATCTAATGTGCAGAAAAAATAGTGCTTTGAATAGGTGCAGCCTTCTCTGACATTGCTGTTGGGTAACTGGAACACGTTGAAAGGGGATTGTTTAGTTGTTCTTTTCCACCTTTTTATGGATTGTGGATGCTGTGCATACTCCAAAAGGAGAGTTGGTGCAGCCCATCACTGGTGTTTGCAGTGACACCTCGTGGACAGTCTGGCAACACCCTGAGAGAGCCCAACCTGCCAGAACTTTGATATTTAAAATCCTATCTAGCATTTCTACTGCCTCTGTGATGTGAATGTTCTTTAAATGTCTCTGTACTTGTGGGCAAGCCCTTTAATTTGACATTTTCTTAAATGCTTATAGACTGAAGACCCAGCCATGGAAAGGCCATACACATTTAAGGATTTCCTTCTGAGACCAAGAAGGTGAGGGGAAGGATCCTTGTATTTTGAAACATTTCTTTCTTCAAGGTTTGTTATTTGCAATTATTTAAGGATTGTTGAATGAAATGTGCCTCCTTGTCTTCCAGCCACAAATCTCGTGTAAAGGGTTTCTTGAGACTAAAGATGGCTTATATGCCTAAAAATGGTGGGCAAGAGGAAGACAACAGTGATCAAAGGGATGAATCTGAGGTAAGGCTTGATGCTTGTGGAAGCATTCAGGTTATTAGAGATTCAAGTATAATTGCAGAAGAAGTTGTACCTTGACAGATAAACCCTGATAGCAGTGTTGGTAGCAGCTTACTCTCCTCTGCATTGCCACCTTTTTTTTTTTCTTCTTTTTTTAACTGTAACCTGGTGTTTTCTAAAGTGTTTCAAAATACTTCAGCTGCCACAAAGAATTCTAGTCTGTCTGACTCTGTGAGCAAGAAGTGGAAGTCATGCCAAATAGAAGATTCTGGGAAGTCTATGCATGTGATTTCTAGACATAATGTTCTCTATTAGGTACCTCTTCTTCAGAGGCCATTGAAAAACAGGTGTTCTGACCTTTTTCTTTAGTTCCTTGGCAGCACTGACTTTGCTTATGCAAGCACAGCAGGTTGAATGACTTCTCAGCAGACTTACCAGCCACCATCCATTTTAAGAATTAGTTGCAGTGAGGGCTGGGAGAGTGAATGTCAGCCCAGGTTTGCCTTACTGGCAGTGGGCAGCAGTCACCTGCACCTGGGGAATGCACCTGTACACTAATGTAAGCAGCAATGAATTAACTCCTTTTTAACTTTAAAATGTTTAAATTTGATTCTTTTTCCTTCATTCCTAAGCATGGGTGGGATGTGGTTGATTCCAATGACTCCGCGTCTCAACGTCAGGAGGAGTTACCACCTCCTCCACTGCCTCCTGGATGGGAAGAAAAGGTGGACAACCTGGGAAGGACTTACTATGTCAACCACAACAACAGGACCACTCAGTGGCACCGACCCAGCATGATGTAAGTGGCAGTGCAGGGCAGGGTTCGGTGGATGTGTGCAAAGTTAACAAAAAGGGGGATTTTTTGCCAACAAACACAACCATTTTGAATTTACAGACTTGAGGCTGAAAAGGTCTTATGCAAGACTTGCCCAAAGCAGTTTATAAAGGCACTTTTCAGTAACAAATTCATCATGATTTTGGTGCTGTATTACTATCTGAAACTACACTTTATCAATAGAAATATTTTCACAGATGTGCTGGTAAATTGAGCACCAAACTCTGGGTATCTTCAGTAAAAAAGGGAACACTATTTTTTTTTAAGATCCCTTTTTTTTCCCCCAGCAAATCACATCTACATACATGCATTTTGGGAAGTTCTAGGAAATCTGAAGGGGTGGGAGGGAAGCCAGTGCATTAACAATGTACCTTAGAATACTGGGAGACAGATGTGGAATTTTTCAGTACGTAATATTAACAGGAATAAATCACTTTTCTTCTATAGAGACTGTTGTAAAGGTAAGGAAAATATTCAACTCTGAAGTTTTAATTAAGTTAAACTGATTAACTGTGATCCTCATTATTATTGAGTGTACAGACTGTATTAGCTATGTACACTGCTTGTGCTAGTGTGGAGTTCCTCTGCAGGCCTTCACTGTTTCTTACAGGTTTATAAAGCTGTGGAAAGCTGAGATATTAAAATGTATAACTGATAATGTTAAGACTTGCACTGAAATAATTTATTAGTTAAACATCTTGCATTATTTTTATGTAGTGACTATTCTGCTGCTGATGATTATGCCAACAGTACTGGTTATTCTTTCTTGAATGTTCATAACCACAGCCAAGTTGCAGCACATGCCTTGTCCTTTCGTACGGACTCTGTCCTCCTTGGCTGCTCTGTCCTACTCAGGTTGAAATTTCATTTTGTAGGTTTTGAACTATTTACTGTTGAACTATTTTTGAGCTATTTACTAAGCACTGTTTATTTTTTCAAGTAGATCTCATCAACTACTGTCATGCTGAAAGTAGGTGGTGTTGTTTCTCACTGGTTGTGTTCTGGTTCTCTCTCCCTCGCCGCGGTCGCTCCCCCTGCCCAGCGATGTGGGCTCGGACTCAGATAACAACATCAGACAGATAAACCAGGAGGCAGCCCACAGGAGGTTCCGCTCCCGCAGACACATCAGTGAGGATCTGGAACCAGAGCCAACGGAAACTGGAGACATTCCTGAGGTGAGCAGGGGTCTTCGTTTTAAGTGAACTGCACTCTGAGCTCCCTGGTGAGCTGGGTACCATGCCACACGCACTGCGGTGTTTCAACATGGTGATACCAGTGAAACACAAAATCCCAAACAGAGCTGTACTATGAAGGTCCCATGTGTTTGTGGGTAACTGATAATGTATGCACAACATTAAACATTTGTAATTCCCAGCACTGTTATATATATGTTGAGAGAAACACTTTCCTGCTTTGACTAACTGTGAAGTTGTCAAAAGAAGGGAAACAGGCTGGCTGAAACTGCCACGTAGGTCAGTTTCCTTCAGTGTCTTGATTTTGAGGAAAGAGAAGCTGTTGTTTTTCCCCAAAATATTTGGTCTTAGAGTTCTGAGATCTTAATAATCAGGGTGAGTGTTTAATTTATAGCTAGACTAAATAAATTAAATTTGGTGTTTGTAGGCCATTCATCTTTAAGGTATATTTTGTTATGTGAATCACAGACAAAATACTTTGTGAAAGCTAGTTTTGGTTCACTACATGTTATTCAAAGTAACAAACAGATTGCTGAAACATTGTTGTACTCATCACCTGTTAATATTTGATTTGCAGATACTAATGAGTACTTTCTATTATGCATTATATCCTAAATTAAACCTAACAGGTGTTTCTTACAAGTTTTTAGTAAGGCTGCAGAATTTGTTATACTTTGAACGAAATTTCAAATGGGATTTATTTACTGAGAGATCTTTTTCATGCAGCTTTTCATCTACATAACTTTCTGTGTTGAATCATAAAGCACTGCGTCACCATCACAATGTTGAAGTCAACATGAAAACCACTTTTCCTGTGACCACTGCCCAGTTTGTGTGCTCTAGGGATTAGTTTGTTGTGTCATGGTAAGGCTGATGATGGTGCCATGTTTGCAGCAATGAGGTGGTCACAGAGAAGGCAAAGGGAGAGAAGACTCGTTTGTCTTTATGAATCTTTAATGTAGCGTCTTCTCCTTTGATAGCCGTGGGAAACCATTTCAGAGGAGGCAAGTGCAAGTGGAGATGCCTTGAGCTTGTCGTTGCCACCTCCTCCCGCCTCTCCAGTGTCCCGCACCAGTCCTCAGGAGCTGTCTGAGGAGCTGAGCAGAAGACTTCAGGTCACTCCAGATTCCAACGGGGAACAACTCGGTTCTTTGGTTGTACGTGACGCGCTGCTCTGTCTGTATAAACCCCACTGCTGTAATACTGGGAGTCATTTACATGGGTGTGCAGTGGTTGCTGCTCTAGGAAAACCTGAACGTGCAGTTAAAAGTATCTTCCAAACAATGCATCATCCTTTCACCATGGAGCAAACTCCCTTAAAAACAATTCCTCAGATTAGATAAAATACTCTGTGAGTTTAACATCCTCTCGTGCGTCTCGGCGTGTCACGAGCACAGAGCTCCACTGGTGCAGTGGGATGGGTGCAGAAAGTTGTAGCTCCAGCCTATTGATTTTCCAAGGGCTGCAATTGCCAGTATCCAGACCAAAGTTCTACATTTTCCTCATACTGCTTGTGCTCCCTGCAGGTTCTCTAAAATGTCTTCCAAAGATATTTAAAATAGTTTTTGAAGAGTTCCATGGCATTTTCATATCCCATTATGTCTTTAGTCTTCCCCTTTGCTGCTGATTCCACAACTGTTAATTTTCCTTTGTGTTTTCCTAGATGGAATGGCCTGTCCTCTTAGATTAAGCTAATAAAACATGGGGATGCTAAAGATGAGTACAGGTTCCAATATTTTCCTTTTCTCACTTAATCTGAAACAGTCCAGGGTGCAATGCTGGGAGTTTAGATTTTTCATTGCTTGTCACATTTCTGTAGAAGTATTAAAACTACAAACAGTGCAACATAAATACTATTTTTAGGAGTTTCAATTAAATGGGAGAAAAGTAAAATTACTGAATAAAACCCCATGTTTTAAGACACCTTAACTTAAAGACATCTGTCTTTTTTTCTTTTCCAGCAAAGAGATCCTTCTTCAAGATTAAGGTCTTGCAGTGTAACAGACACAGTTGCTGAGCAGTCTCAACTATCCCTGGTAAACCAAAGCTAACTTCTCTTTCTTTATGTTTAGACCTTCTCTAATTCTGAACAATATCTTTTCTTAGCTCAGTTTTAGTCAGATACAGATCAGTAACCAAATCAGTAATCAGTATGGGCATGTGACTATCCCAGGTAGTAACAGATACCAATATCATCATGGTCAGCAACTAAAATGAGTTCATTCATGAGATGGAAAAACATGTTGAGACTAAGAGCACAGTCACACTAACTTCAGTTGTCTAGACATTTAGTTTACTGAACTTTAGACCTTGTAGTCAGTGGAGAGAGAATCCTCCAAAGGGTGTTTTCAGCTGGGATAGGAGGGCAGCAGCACCATCCATACTTGGAACTGTAGCAGCCACAGGACTACAGGTGTATTTTTGTGTCACATAAATTGATAGTACTTACAATATCTACATCTGTGTAACATTTAAAAGAATTGGGGCTTTACCTAGTTGTAGTTAAAAGGGACCTTTTTGTGATAGTCCTCATGCAACACAACTGAATGGAATTGCATGTTCTAGTTTTTTCATGAGTGATTTAGGTAAGCAGTTTCTTATCAAAGCAGATTTTTCAGATGGGGAAAGGTGCAAAGATGTTCTTAAAAAAAAAAAAATCTCTTTCACCTCATAAACATTCCCACCTTTGATCCAATTGGTAGAAGGTTCTACATATCTTGTCCCACAACCCAAGTAGGAGGATTGAAAAGGCGTTAGGCTGCTTAAAAAAATAATTTGGAAATCTGAACAGCTTTACTCAAAAGCATATTTTGCACAATCCTATTTCAAATTTCTAGGATTTTTTTCCTCATTTTTTTATTAGAAATATATTACATATGAGTCTACAAATTGCCTATTTGTGTATCATTTTAATGGTGTTATTGAGTCAATAGCAGAGTGTATGAATAAGTTTGTTACTAAGGCTGATGTCTCTACTTGTTCTTTCTCTTGCAGTTGTGCAGACCTTTAGAATGACCATAGTGTTTTTCTCTCAATTTAATCTTTTCACATGTTCCAGAAGTTGTTTGTCTACATGTGCTGCTTATGGGTGCATGTAACATGTTGTTCTGCTGCTTTATTCCATAGCTCTTCATGGAGCCTGGGTTTCTTTCACTGGTCAAGTTGGGACTGGTGCTGTGCCTGTCACTTCATTATTGTAGAACACTCACTTTAGCAAGTGTTCCAAACAGAATTGAAGGCATTGCTCTAAACCAAGGATGATAGCTGATCTTAACTACATTTAATTCTTACTAAGCTAATGATAATTTATCTTGTAGCAACTAAATACATGTTTTCTCTTTAAATACAGTGCTCTTCTTGAATGTATTAGTCCTTGGTGAAAATTCACAGTATCATCTTTTTCATCTGACTTCTGTGCACTCATTGATGACCAGAATGTATCCATTTTGTTTTCAAATACCACGTTTATGGGCAGAACATGCAAAATTTGTTGGGGAGAGAAAAAAAAAAATCACATTGCATTTAGAATAACAGTTGTTGTTATTATTAGTGATACTGAAAGTATAGAATTGGACATAAGACCTCTTAAAAGTCATTCCCTTGGTGGTTTTTGTATGAGATCCTGACTTGGTTATCAATGATTGATGACTCCATCTTTTCTGCTATCATCTTAAGCATTATTTACATCTAATTGCTCTTTCAATGTATTTGTCTGTCTATGATTCCTTACTCCTAAAGATGTAGCAGTAATCTGTGACCTTCATCACTAAAGATACTTATCTGTAACATTAATTGTCATTTGACAGCAGAGTGGTCCATCTAGGAGAGCTCGTTCTTCAACTGTGACAGGTGGTGAGGAGCCAACGGTAATAATATCTTTATCAAGCATTATCTCTAAATAATTCTTGGGTAGATTTAGGTTTTGTACAATAAGGAACTTCTTTGCAGGGAGCAGCAGTGTGTAGTGAAATACAGCCTCGGAATCCAGAGCTGTGGTGGTGTTGTTTCACAGTTTCTCAAAGCCCTGCATTTTCACTCAAACACCAGCATGTTTTATGCCATGAATTTGCCACTGGGCTTTTAGCAAAGCTAAGGAAACACCATAGGCTTCTAAGAAATGCAGGGCACACCACCTCATTCTTTAAAAACTGATCCTGAAAGAATTGGGACTTAGAGACACCAAATAAGCACCCAGGTAGTTGTGCTTTTAGCCTCTATCTTCCCTTACTCTCCTTTAGACTCACCAATTTTAATTCTTCAAGTTGATCTTGAGAACTGTGAAGGCACAGTGATGTATCATATAGCTCTTAATGGTCTTATTTAATGCCAGTGTTCAAGTTGTTCAGCAGTCCAAGACTGAATTTTTACTTTGATCATCCAATAAAATTCTGGAAATGCTTTTCTGAAAGTGTAATGCAAGGAAAATGGGTTTCACTTTTGTGGGACTTTGTCAAAAACAATTCATTTTTTTAAACCTGATTAAATGTCAGTCTGAAGCAATTTATTTCTTGGAAATAATTTGCAATAACTATCATAAATAGCTTTTATAAATAGATGTGCTCCTAGGTGATTTGTTTGAGGAAAAGAAATTTATTATTTAGTTAATTAATTTAATTAATTTAAATTGGTGTGTCATGATGTTAGATCTTAATTTGGGTGTTGATGCACCATTCTGAAATACTGTCTATATTTACTGGGCTTTGAATGTTAGGGTGTTAGAGAGCACAAGTTTTGCCTTTCTGCTTGCTGTGCTGCAGCATATAAACCTGGAATTCTTTAAGGACCAGTAAATGCATGTATTCCATCCATAAGAGAAATGCTATGGACATTGCTACAGGGAACACTCTGATAAAAGCAGACTGCTAGATGAAGGCATTTGGGTTCTTTTCTCAGCATTAGGAAGCTGCCTCTTTCTAAAGGAATTGGTGTTATTGATGAGGAATTAGATCACTGCACAAATTGGTAAGACGGTGCAGTTTAAGGACTGTTCCGTACTCTCTTGGGTGATGAAGGCCTTTAGGTTTCATCATCCTTCTGCTGTCAAGGCAGATATTTTGAGAGGCAAGCAATCTCTAGCATCATAGTCTCCTGATTATTAATATACGAGTGTATATTTTAATGTGATTAATCTAATAATTAAATGCATATTGAGCCAAAGATACAGACCTAGATACTGAAAAGCACCTTGCACATGTCAAGCCTTTGATGCAGTTATGAATACAAGGGCTTCACTGGAGGACAGCAGTGGTGTCCTGCAGAGTTTAGCAGTTTGCTTCTATCTGCTGTGGGTAACAGCTTCCTGTCTCTCTCCAGCTCCTGGTGTTTACATCAAGGACTTAAGAAAAACTTATCCTCAGAATCTCACTTTCATGTTTCCTTCAGTGACAGCCAGAACGCCTGTTCTTAATCCACCTTACAAGCAAGTGATGGCTTAAGAGGAGTCCCAAACTACCTCTGCCCTTTGTGCTACTATGCATTTTTTTCCTCCCTGTATGTCCCAGAAAAAAAACATCAAATTGGTTTGTTTAAGCATTGAATATTTTCCTCACAGGAAGTACCTAAGGCAACACCAGCAACACACAATAACATGATTCTTGTGTTGAACAGTGACATAACTTGTTAAAGGACAATTAGTGCCTTTGGTACCATTATAATTATCCATATATTTTCATTAGAATGTCTTTCTTGGGAACCTTTTTTGTACTAAAGTTGGAGCTCCAGTTTAGGTGTATCTTGTGTCTTCAGGACATCTAATCCTGAATGCAACATTTGTAACTATGACAAAATGGTTTGACTTCAGTTTATAAACCCACAATAGTTTCTTGCAACTGGTTCAAGACCCTGACAGAACTTGGGAAATCTTGACACATCTGCACAGGTACTTCAGTTCTTACTTATCCATACCAATAAAGGGAAAAAATTCACTTGAAAAAAATAATGAAAATACAAAGTTTTGCTTTCTCCTTATGTGTAATCTACAAATTAAGAAGTTCGAGGGGTATAAGCTTAGGTGTTTTCTGAGCAAGGTACTTGAGCCTGTGCAGAAGTGAATCTAAGCATCTGTTGTGAGAAATGATGCTTTGACTCAAAGGCACACGAAGATGAGCTTGTGCTGAATGACACCAGACACCACCTTTTCCTGTGTGCTTGTTGTGTTTAAGTGTTGTAAGGTAACAAATCTTTTTTTTTTTTTTTTTTTAAAAAAAAAAGAAAAAGACTGACAAAATCTATTTCAAAGCTCTGACAGAATAACAACCCAGTCCTGTTTCCCTGAGCAGCCTTCTGTGGCCTATGTGCACACCACCCCGGGCCTGCCCTCGGGCTGGGAGGAGAGGAAGGACACCAAGGGCCGGACGTACTACGTGAACCACAACAACCGAACCACAACCTGGACACGGCCCATCATGCAGGTGAGGAGGCCTCCTGTGATGCTTCACTGAGACAGCAAGCACTGGGCATGTTCTGAGTACCCCCTCAGTTGGACCAGCTCCTCAGAACTCTGAAATTTTAAAAAATAATAATAATAATCCCAAGCACTGTCATGACAACTCCGGATAATCATAAAGAACTGCAGTGGTTGGGTTTTTTGTGAATTTGTTGAACTATGTTAAGGTACAGATAAGGTTGTTGCTACAATGGAAGGAATTGGCAGAGGTTTGTATGGGATCATAAAAGGAGGCAAATGCAGTTTTAGGATTGTATTTGAAAGTTGTGTTGATCTAGTAATGGTAGCATACATTGCCTTCCCAATGGACTTAAATGCTTCGTATTTAAGACAGTATATTTAATATTTGGTAATAATAATTATATAATTTTTAAGTGTCCTATCTCCGGGTAACCTGTCTTTCTGACACTTAACTTGGTTTTGCTTCTGAAATAGCTTGCAGAAGATGGCATGGTTGGGACAACAGCAAACAGCAGCAACCATCTAAGTGAGCCCCAGATAAGGCGGCCTCGAAGCCTCAGTTCACCCACAGTGACTCTGTCTGCTCCACTAGAGGTGAGAAAGATCACTTGGCCCTGACTTCTCACTCTTGGTTGAGTGTTCATTTCCTTTCTAGTTGTGCAATACAGACTGTTTTTCCCGTTGCTAATTTTGCCCTAATATATTGTTATTTTCTTTAGCATTTATTGGGACCTTTATATTGTACAACAGAATGGTCACTGAATTATCCATTTTATATTTGATAAGTTGGTTTGCTCAGCTAAAATGTAATCTGTGCATGCCTGAAACACTGGTTGTTGTGAGTCCCTTCAGGTGTTCTGATCAGAAATATTTTTTAAGTTGAAACTTTTATTTTGATACTGGTAACTTTGAAAACCTGCAATTGAGTTTGGAAAACCTTTGAATTAAGGTATTGAGTGCATGTTATATTCCTTGTCTTTCAAAAGGATATTTAATTTAAGTATCTTTAAAAGTAATTCAGAATACTGTTGAATTACATTCACTGCAATGTGTCAGAAGAATAACTTAAGTGGCTTTTTATGGAATCAAAGACAACGTGTGTTTTGCTTCTGAAAGTGTGATTGAAGCTCTTGGATCAGTTAAATGTGACTGTGTTGAGGAGAGTCAGTTCTGGTGAAGGGTCTGAAACGGGAGTTAGCTTCTCAGGGCAGTAACCTGTCCCATAGCTGCAAAAACAATGTTCACTTCAGAATATTCAGCTAATCTCTTTAGTCGTTAATTTGTTCCATGCCCAGAAATGACAGCGGGGCTGAAGAGCACAGATTTGGCCTCTTAAACCCACCACCTCTGACTTGATTAAAAAAACCCACAACAGCTGAAGTGTAGCCTTATTAATATTAAAACCTTAAAGGGATATAATCACAAGGAAAAAAACAACCAAAAACTTCAACTTTTTAGAAGTTACTGCTTTTGTTTAAATAGTTATTTTGTTGTTAAATGTTCACTGTGTACAAGACACATGGAAAGCTTTTATTTCATGAGAGGTATTTTAAATGCTACTTTTGTAATCTTAACTGCATGTCCCACCCAAATGCAGCTCAAAACAAGCCACAAATAAAGCTAGAATAATTTTGAGAAAACACATGTTGGTACTAAAAAATAGTAATTAAATGTAGCCTAAGTCAGAGAATTGCCATTGCTAAATCTTAATAATTAGCTGAAGAAGATAAAACAAGCTGTTATCACATGTTAGCTAATGAGAGCCTGAGAGTAACTGAAAAGCACAAATGCAAACAGGATTTAAACAAAGTAATTCAGCCTTACTTTCTAGTGGTGCTATTCTGTATTTTCAAAGGTGAGCAAATCAGGATCAAATTTTTCAAGCTCTTTAGGCATCTAAAACATGCAGATTCCTGGTGAAATTAAAAAAAATAAATTAAACACATCAGCAGCTTCTGTTTTTAACCAACCATCATTGATCAGGGAGTCAGTTTTGTGGCTGTGATCATTTATTAAAAAAAAAAAATCAATTGCCCCCAATCTGTGATTGCAAACCTCCATTTATTTTAGGAATGTCTTAAATTCCAATGTAACTGTTTCATCTGAAGTTGCAGTTGAGAAATGCTTTGTCAGGTGGATTAGATCACATCCGGGATAGTCCCTTGTAAGGTGGGATAACTGCCCCAGGAAGCAGAAAGCAATGCTTTTAAGTTTTCCTTTATAAAATGAAATATTGACACATTTGGGGCAGCTGCAGTAACATCTATAATCCAGTGTAACTACTGTGGACATGGTCAGTGCAGAGGGAGGTGATAAAGCAGTCTCCTTCACAGCAAAAGCTCAGTATGTTATAAGGAGCAGAACTGGGTGAAGCTAGTGCTGGGCAGTCAGTCCCAGCACTTCATTCTGTATGAATTTCCTCCGGACTGAACACATTGCAGTGGAACCACGTTGGGCTCTGCTGACAGCACTGACAGGTCAGTCTCTTCCCTCTCCTCAGGGCATGAAGGACTCCCCGGTGCGCAGGGCGGTGAAGGACACGCTGTCCAACCCCCAGTCCCCCCAGCCCTCACCCTACAACTCCCCCAAGCCCCAGCACAAGGTGGCCCAGAGCTTCCTGCCGCCCGGCTGGGAGATGCGGATTGCGCCCAACGGCCGCCCCTTCTTCATCGACCACAACACGAAAACCACCACCTGGGTAAGGGGCAGCCTGGGGCATGGGTCTCAAGCCATCAATGTTCAAATGTGTCTGTCTTTGTTTGTGTCCCCCCCTGTTGTGGCATTTCTCGTGCCTGCAGGGGGGCCTCTGACAGCCTCAGTGTCCATGAAAGGCTGCAGGAACCTCAGCAAACCCTCCAAGCAGCCGCTGTGATTGCAACAGGCTGGGGGAGCTGGGTCCTGAAGAGAGTTCAGTGCTGCACCCAGAGAGGGGAACCTTCTGGTGCATGTTCTCTTGCATCTTGGTGCATGCAGTACTGTTCTGCATGGTGTATTTGACCTTTCTGTGCTTCACAAATCATTGCATACAAGTGCTGTCCTTTAAATTCCCCAAACTGGGAATTCAGAGGCATACGGTGCAACAGGGACTTGCGTTGTTCAGTTTGAGACTGTCCATAATTGTTTAGTATTTCACTGTGACCAGCGCTGGTTTTTTTATTCATCTAAGGTATCTCATCTTCTTCACTTAGCAGAATCCTTCAAATTACTTGGTTTATGTCATGATGATCCATTTTCCAATAATTCCACTATTTTGGTCAATAATTTAGAGAAATAAAATGACACTAGGAAAAAAACCATCAAAGACAACCCAGCATTTCACATCACCCTTGAAATACAGGTTGCACTTTGTTTGGCATCATCCAGGTTCCCAGTAACCACTGGTTACGCAACATATTTTTAATGGTGGTTCTTAGTGGTGTTCCTAGGTGGGGAAATTATGTGAGTGGAAATCTCAAGCCTCTTTTGTCTAGATTTTTCTTCTGTGACCTAGTTTACTTCTTTTTGCTTCATTTGTATATTGATGTAATAATACCTGTGCATTACTAAAAACGTAAGGAGCTTGTTTTCATCCTTTTTGTGGTAGGATGGCTCACTCCTCTGCTGTTTTTAAGAGCCAAAAATGTCCTTATATATCCAAATGCCACTTAGGGCAGTGCATGTGTCCTGAGCGCAGGGCAGGGTCTCATCTGTGTCTCTGGGTATAGTGCACTTAATGAAGTCCAAAGCCTTACATCACCCTAACTTACTCTTTTAACATTTAAAAAATCATTTCAGTATATAAATCCTAATAAAGCATGTGACACACCCAAAGACTAAATGTTCTATCATTCTTATAGGCTTTGTTTTAGTCTCAAAAAATAAGAATAAAATAATAACTATAATGTCCGAAGATTTCTGTTCCAGGTAATTCTGTGTTGGACTTAGTATGTAGATCTAAATTGATCTCTAGGGTTTTACAGTTCCATATTTCTGTTACAGGAGGATCCACGATTGAAATTTCCAGTGCATTTGAGATCAAAAGCATCTCTGAACCCTAATGATTTGGGCCCTCTTCCTGTAAGTGACAATGTGTATGTATTTTAATGTATACCTGCTGTCTTTTGTGATCTGAGCTGTTGCTGCAGTCATAGATTGAATGTGGATACATAAGTTGCTGTCATCACTTTCCTGAAGATACTTAAGCTATGATTATATACAGCACCAAAAAAATTGATTGTTACCTGTGAATCAGTCAGGCTTTCTGTTGGCATTCAGAAATCTAAATACATTTTGGTTTTTCAAGGAAACTTCCATATTCTGCAGAGCAAATTATCATTTTAACATCAGAAGTTTTGTCAGTCTTGAAACTAAAGTATAATTTTGATGTACAGCCATGTCCACTACTGAGCTTTGCTTTGTTTTTAGAAGACTCCATCCTTGCTGGCAGAGGGGGGTCTGTGAAAGCTAAGGCTGTTACCCTGCAGTGCTACTTCTGCTCAGAGCCTCATACACACTCAGGGTGCTTTTCAGAAATGGCAGCTGTGCTTGCAGCCCTGGGAACCTTAGTGGCAGCAAACCAGCCCTGGTGCTCCAGCAGGTATGACAGACAAGCTTTCTGCAACAGCTGTGCCTGCAGAAGGGGTTACTGCCCACCCTACAGGACATGGCAGATTATTTTAGTTTGAATATCAGGTCTTTAATTGTGCTCATGTTCATTGAGCAGGGTTACAGTTTGCTCAGATGAACCGCTCTCCCAGCACAGCAAAACAAGCTCTGCTTTTGGGCAGGAGTTGTGGCAATTGCTGCCTTTGGTGAGGGGCAATAACCTGTGACCACCTCTGGTCAGACATCCTCCTCTAGAACATCCTAAAACCTTACTGCCCTCATCTCAATTAGCAAGAAGTTTTGCCTTGTGTTAGGGCCAGTGTGTTGAACCACTGATAAGATGGAAAACTGCAGCTGAACGTGTTCATTATGGTGTGTTTCCTGGTTACACCTCAGCAGCAATGTCATATGTCTCTAGGAACAGCTGTGGAAGCAGCAGTTCTTTTGCAGCTCCTCAGGTACATTGAGCTTGCATTAATTTGTGAGGACGCTGCTTGGGCAGGAGGCCCTGCATGTGAGTAACTGAAGTTTGCAGTTTATTCTGCAATTGCAAGAGGTAAAACATACAGTGGAATCAGCCTGACATTGTCACTGCAAACATGTAATTAGTAACAGACTTTAACTCCAGTTAATCCATTTTTGAGTGAGGTAAGAATGACTACGGAATTTAACAAGAGTTTCTCAACAAAGCTTGGCTTGAAATAATTTCTCCTCTGTGTTTTATTCAGAGGCCTGAAGCTCCCGTGGAGCATTCAGGTGGATGGAGCTGCCAGACTGGGCAGCGTTGCACACACTCGTGCCCTTTGCTGTCCTTGCAATAACTACGCTCATCTGGAAGATGAGAAAAGGGAGTGGATAAAAAAGGCAGAATTGAGGACTAGGTTAGATGTTTCTGCCCCACTTTAAGGGCATCCTGGCCTGAGTACTTAAGAGTGAATAGCCCACTTGTGTTTCAGAAATAGAAGCAGAAACTCAAACTGAACCAATGATGGACAATCTAGTCTTTGATGTCATTTCCTCTTAGGAAGAAATGGGTATAAACCTTGATGCACAAACAAGTTTCCACTTCATGCTTAAAAAAAGTATTGACTGTGTTGGCTATAGTTCCCTGTAGAAATAACCAGTTCTTTGAATCTTCTTGGGTTTTTGTCCTGGGCATAATTGTACCTGTGACCATTCTGTGTTTCCTACCTCACAAGCAATTTCAGCAGGTGTGGATAATGTATTGCTTCAAGCTGTGTGTGAGTGGTAGTACATCACTTACTTTCTCTTTTTTTATTTCCCAATTCCAGCCTGGTTGGGAGGAAAGAATACATTTGGATGGAAGGACGTTTTATATAGACCATAGTAAGTAAGCACTCAGGTACAACAGCAAATAGACAAAGGGAGGTGATAAGTATTGAAGTGAAAGCTTTATAATTTTACTCTTCATTTAGGAAGCCAGGTGTTGATATGTGGAGACATTGATACCAGAGACTTAGTGCCCTCGTACGGTACTGTATATTCACTGAAAGCTTGCTTTTAATTGGCTCATCAAGCTTTGTCCCTCTCTGACTTGTGAAGCATTAACATTTCTTCTTTGTGGTTTCTTTTGTTCTTGTTGATATTTTGGATTCGTTGTTGTTGTTGTTGATGATCCCATGGCTTATTTGCACTTAATAAATTAAAATATACACTAGGAATAGAAAATAAGATGAGAAAATATCATATAGCCACAACTCCACGTACAGGCAGTGGAGAAATCAGCACTAGAAAGAACTCGTTGCTCTCCTTTAAGGTCTTGTGGCAGTGCCAATTCTGATCTTATTTCCTATTTGTAGCATGTTAAACTGCACCCAGCCCATTAATATTATTCAGTCTGTTAGTGAAGTTATAGTCTAAGTGATGTTTCATTGTAGACTTGTCTTATTACAGCATCTCAGAACTACTGTGTGAGTTTTTGTTGTTGTTTGAAGTTAAAGCAGCCCAGAAGGGCTGGGTTCTTTATTTACTTTTTTAATTATTATTTTTAAAGACTTCAGCAG